AAATATTTTCAATGCTTTATTAAAATTTATCAAAGTTACATATTTGGTCGAGTGCAATTGTTTCATTTCTTATTTTTATTCATTTTGATTTCTTCAAATCGATCAAACCGGAGTAACTTGATACCTTTGCCCCTCATATCACTGAAGCATTGACCCCAATGACTTCCCTTATCTACCAAAAAAAATACCTTACTCTCATAAGTAATTAATATGCATTCTTATAAGTATTACGCTGTCAATTTTTTTAGGCAAAAGAGTTTATGATAAATCTTTTTTCGTTTAAAACCTTTTGTATTAATTTTTTTAAAGTGCTTATTTTGATTAGTATTTTTTCATTTTGAATCAAAGAGAGAAAAATCAAAAACTATGGCCATAGAAGGATGAAAATACATATTTCTCAAGAAAGTAATCAAAAATGTCTTCTGAAGTGTATCAGAAGCACTGCAAAGACAGTTTTTAGTCTTACTTGTCCTTTTTGAATAACTGGCAAGCAACCTAAGTTAAAGCATATTAGCTTACTAGAATTTGAAGAAAGCTTTCATTAAAGGAATAATTAATTTACTCCAACATATCAGGCGTACAGTGTGAAGAGAAAAATGGTAATTATTGTTGTAAAAACTCGACAATATCTATATGAGTTTGGATAGATTTATTTTTCACTAATTTGAAAATAAAATGATAAATGAATAAATTAATAAGTAAATAAGTATAACAGACTATTTAATTAGACAATGCTTTTAAAATATGCTTTAATACTTGCTCAATAATATGTATCTTCGTTTGAATTTGTCTTCAATCAAAATTAAAACTCAATAATGAATTTGAAAAGATTGAAACTGAATTGCTTTTATTTTTCAAAGAATATTTTTTCTTTTACTTTTTAACATTATATCAAAATTATTCGTACTATAATACAATTTATTCTTACATACTGCTTTTTGAACTTTTTTGTAGAACAAACCTTCAAAATACTTATTGCCATGAATTAAGCTATTTGTAAACTGATTGATTATCACTTTTATCTTCACGTTGTACGTCTGATGTGTAAGTAAAAATATAATAATAAAACATTGTTATCTTCCTTTGATATCTTAACTTTTTTGTTACTGTATATTGTACCAATGTTCTATAGTTATCCATGTTATTTATATTATTACTAGTCATATTATTTGATAATATTTTTACTTATGGATCAAATTTATGCGTATGAAAAATATTTAAAAAATCGTTATAGTAAGATTGAAATATTTTACTTTTTTAATGGTACTTGTGAATTTTTATTTGCAGTTTCTGTGAATAATTGGCAAAGTTTGCAGGAATCACTGGACACTGGAGGTGAAGGTACATTAACGAGTGGTAGCGATCACAGCAAAAAAAGTCGCAAAGAGGGTCGTTATAAGTCTCTCGAGAAAATTCGCTCTCCACCATTATTTCCACGGAATACGAATGACCCTGCAACTTTTTCTCCCTTATCACAACGGCGTAATTACGTTGAGGTAAATCTTGTCAATTTATCACTTCAATTTGCATATTGCATCAAAATTATCCAATCCAAATTACGAATTTTGTGATGTTAGAATTTTTATGATGCTAAAGAGTTGA